TCCAATGGGCTTTGCTGGTGCTGAGCAGGGGCAGGAGGTTCCTCCACAGCGCTGGGGACCCCATCCCTGTCCCCAAGCCCATGGTCCTAAGCCAGGCCCTGTGGCCAGAGGTCCCGGCCATGGCCGGGTTCCAAGCAGCAGCTCCAAGCTGCTTGTTTTCTAATCAGCGCTGAACAAACAAAGCACTGATTGAGTCTAATGGGCCCTTTAATCAGGGAGCCGGGTGCTGACACTAGATTACAGTGTTTATAATTGACAGCTAATCTGGGCGAAGGGAAGAGGGACGGAAAGGAACAGAAAGGAACAGAGGAGAGAGCCCGGAGCAGGCGCGGGAGCCTCTCACCATTCACCACCGTGCGGCGGGGGATCTCCCACAGCACCAGCCCGTAGGCCCAGATGTCCGTCTTCTTGTAGGACTCGAAGCAGTCGGTGCGGATCTGCTCGCTCAGCACCTCTGGGGCCATGTAGCGCTTGGTGCCCACCCGGGGATTGTTGCCAATGTCCAGGTAGTCGCTGCCCTGGGAGTGCATCACAGCCAGCCCTTGGGGGGGGGAAAGCAGAGAGGCACTGGGGTTGGAAGAGACCTTGAAGATCATCAAGTCCAACCGGGAAATGCTGGGATGATGGAGCCAGTCAGTGCCATGCTTGTGCTGTGTCTGCAGGATGCTGCAGCCCTGGGGCACGATGGCCCTGTGTACCACATCCTCAGGGTACCACATCCCCGGGGTACCTCATCACTGGGGTACCATATCCCAGGATTACCACATCCCCAGGTATCACATGCTTGGGGTACCACATCCTTGGGTACCGCGCTCTCAGGGTACCATGTCCCTGGGGTACACATCACTGGGGTACCTCATCCCCAGGGTAATGCATCCCCAGGGTACTGCATTGCTGGTATCACATCCTTGTGTTATCACATCCTTGGGGTACCACATCCCTGGGCATCACATCCCCATCTCACCCAGGTCTGCAATGCAGCACTGCCGGTTGCTCTTCACCAAGATGTTCCTGCTCTTCAGGTCACGGTGGGCAATAGCAGGCTTGCCCTGGGTGCCGAAGATCTCCACATGGAGGTGGACAAGGCCACAGATGATGGAGGAGGCCAACCCCAGGCAGGTCTCCGCATCCAGGGCTGTCCTCTGCAGGTAGTCGTAGAGCGAGCCGTTCTCATGGTAGTGGGTGATGAGCCAGAGCTGGGTGCTGGAGTTCCTCGACGTCATGTCAGAGGCAATGAAGCCTGGATGTGGAGAGGAACTGTTACCACAGAGCTGCTGTGCAGCCACCCCACGGTCACCAAAGCATCCCTGGGTATCACATCATTTGGGGACCACATCCTCAGGGTCCCACATCCCGTCCCCTGCTCACCCAGGATGTTGTCATGCCTCAGCAGGACGGTGTTGTAGATCTCCGTCTCACGGAACCACGACTGCTCATCGCGGGAGGAGAAGATCTTCACGGCCACGCTCTCCCCGTGCCACACGCCTCGCCACACCTCCCCGTAGCGTCCTTTGCCTGCCATGGCCACAGCACCACGTCACCGTGGCCATGGTCCCCTCTGCCCTCTCCCATGCAATGAACCAGCTCCCAGTGTGGAGCATCGCAGGGTCTGTTGACCTTGGCCAACTCACCCACCACCCAGCTGCTCCATCCTTATCCCATCAGCAGCACAGGGGGAGAACTTGGGGTATCTGTGGGGTTTTGGCTGAGACACCCAGGTTCAACCCCCTGTCCTGGCTCTGGTGCCACCACTGGAGGAAGGTGTCTGTGGGTGCAGCCTCTCTCCTTACCCACACACTCCACCAGCGTGATCTGCCGGGCCACAGTGCGCTGGACGAGGAAGGGCAGCCCGGAGCCACTGCCCGTGGTGCAGTCATCGCTCAGCAGGTCCTGCACAGCCAGACAGTGGTGGGGTCAGCTTGAGAACCACCCCATGGACCCCTCCCTCCAATGTCTCTGGGGCATTTGGAGCTCACCCACCTCTAAAGTGCTGTCTCCCACCATAGACGCTTTCAGCATGAGGTCCATGTCCCCCAGGTCGCTTTTGTTGTGGCGGTGCTGAGCCACCTTCCAGCAGAAGAGTGCTGTGAGAGCAACGAGGACGAGGAGGGCGAGCAGCGGGACGAAGATCATCAGGAGGAGACTGGGCAGGGAAGGCACCTTTCCCAGCGTGTCTTCTCCTGGGTTGGGGGAAATAATGAGTGGGAGCATGAAAGTGGACCTGGGAGGGTTGAGGGTGCCTGGGAGGGTGGCTCTGCATTGGGGTCACTGGGTGGCAGGTCTGCAGAAGGAACATCCCTGTCCCACTTGGAAAGGGTGACCCTCGAGGTGCTGATGGAGCCCAACTGCATCTCCAGCCACACGGGGCTCCATGTACCTTGCAGGAAGATCTCCAGCTCGGCGTTGCACATGCTGGAGTCGCAGCACCTCATCCCGTACTGCTCCGTCACGGGTGTGTGGCAGTTCTCCAGGATGTGCTGGGAGAAGCAGCCCCGGTGCTGGGTGATGGTCCCGTCCTCCCTCCTCTTGCTGACGAAGCACACCTTGCCCGTGCAGGTTGGTGTGCTGCAGTGCGGCACATCGCAGGCGCACAACAGCTCATCTGCACAAGAAGGGCAGGGCATGTTTTGCCATGGGGACACCCCACTGCCCAGCCTGGAACACGCTGCTGGCTTTGGGGACAGTGACATTGTCCTAAAGACTCTCGAACCCCATGTTCCCCTCTGGCCCAAGAGCTGCCCATTGCCATGGCCATGGGATGGTGGCCCCATGGCTCATGTCCACGGTGAGCTCTTCTGCTTCAGTCCTCCCTGCACAAGCACCCAGCTGGGATCTGTGCCCAGGTCACCGTGGTTTTCCCCTGGGATCACACTCCTGGCTCCTCACCATCCCCCCTGGGAAAAGGCACATGCATCATGCCTATTCCTGTCTCCCCTCTGGTAACGTCAAAGCGCTTGGTGAACCAGAAGGAATTGAGCTGAGATCCCCTCTGGTCACTGTCCTGCTGAGACAATGGGGGTCCCTGAGGAGCTCTGTCCACCCCCCGCTTGCTCCAAGAGAGCTCCAGGAGAGGTTTATTTGGAGCAGAGCAAGTGGGGATGTTCCCAAGGAGATGAGGGTTTATCCGAACCCTGACGCGTGGCAGGAGCATCACCACGTCGCTTGGTCGGTACTCACCGGCTGCGGAGCACGGGGACACGGTCATCAGCATCAGCATCAGCACCACCCGGCTGCAGGCTCCACACAGCATCTTCCTGTGGGAGCAGAGGGGTAAGAGGGACCCCCCATATCCCCACATCCCCCCTGTCCCTGCATCCCCCCTCTCCCTGCAGCTCCGCATGTCCCTGTTGCAGGGCTGGGGATGGCCACGGTGTTTCTGGGAAGGAAGAGGGGGACATGGGGAGTGATGGAGTGGGCAGAGCCGTGCCAGGTGGGCCATGTTGCTTCCAAGTGGAGTTTGGCTCCGGACGTCCTGGGTACAGCCCTTCCTGAGAGCAGATCCGTGGGACCTCCTGAGCTTGGAGAACCTCCCACCCGCGGCACTGACACCACACACAGCCCCATGGAAAGGGGCCCTCACCGTGTTCGTGCTGCCCCAACATCCCTCCTTCATCCCAACAATCCATCCTTAAGCACTTCCCACCATTCCCGAGGCTCCTGCGCTGCAGCCAGTGGCCGTTTATGGGCTCTGCAGACCCGGAT